ATTATTTATAGGAAAGTTTTTGATAATTTAATCTAGTTAATTATAAATTTTTATTAATATGGTTATTGTATCTATTCACAATGTATTCATTTAGCTTTGACATTGACTTAACACTAATATGCATATTTAATATTAAAAATAATAATTATATAGCCCCACTATGTATAGGATAATATGGAGTATTTGAGATGGTATGCTACAAATTATTTTTTTGAGAAAAATCTCCTACAAAATTAACACTTATTTACAAAAATTTTAATTCATCATAAATGATAGATATGTCATTTATAAAAAAAATTATTATATATGACACGTGCATCACATGAATACTTTACCAATATAATTAATTATTAATTATATTATATTGAGCGAGAATTGCAAGCAATTTTCCCTTAATAAATTGCTTTTTATGATATGCGTGAGGGCTGTCTATACCCAACTATCACTACGTTGGTAGTCTTCATTTCTCCCTGTTTTTTGGTCCCCATTTCTCCATCAATACATTAACACTTGCATGCTTTGATTCCGTGTTGGTGATCACACCACGCACCACTTCACAAGTCGCTACGTGGCAAGAAACCCGCCACTCTTTAATTTAGATCCATGCTGCAGCAGCATTGAAGGAAAATCCATGAGAAATTAAATCCTCCTCTAATCTTATTTACATGACACTTTTAATATATTTTATTAAAATTAATTAATTAATTATATTTAAAATTTTAACAATTTTTTAACTTTTCTCCTATTAATATATATATATATATATTATTAACATATTTTTTTCTTTAACATTTAATGAGGGTTAAATAAAAAATTTTGCAGTGAAAATTTAATAAAATAACTTATAAATAAGATAAAAAAAGTTCTCTCCCTGCTTTATAAATAAAATTAGAGGGAGTAGCTTGTAAAACTGGCTAATCCCTAAATTGTGGACTCCCCCAGCACGAGTTGGAAAAACCTGCTACCAATGTTATATATATTTTTTAAATTCTTTTCCTATTTTTTGAGAAATGTAAATCTAACCGCAACAACATAATTTTTTTAAAAGTTTTTTCCTTTTGTTTTTAGAAATGCAAAGTAATGGAAGCCAAAAGTTAGCCTGACTTAAGGAACTATTAACATAGTGCAGGAAAGAAGGGAGAGAAGAAAAAATAATATGTAACATAAGAATGAAAAATCATGTGCAAATACCCATCTAGATGATATACCTTTTGGATTTCATGATCCATCAACAAATTCTGAACTATTTACACCATCAACGCAAGCTACGGCAGCTTCATGTGTAGAGAAATCAACAAATCCAGAGTCTTTCCTCTTAACATTATTAGCCACATTCCAGGCAACTATAATTCATACAATTACCATAACCTTTAAAGTCATCCCTAATAATATGGAAGTGGAAGTGGAATCCTGTAAGATCAGGACAGAACCTGGAACATAAATAAGAATGGACACAAATAAAGAAGAAAATGAAACAAAGAAAAAGGAAAAGATAATGATAATGATCAATGAAAAGAATTTCTAAAGCATGTGCCTTCAACAACCTTAGTCTTCAAAGACAACTTAATAGTTTATAAGACTTTTAATCACATCTGTATTTATCATATGATATACTCATACGCAAGTGCAGTTCGCAACATAGTTTTAAACTCTAAAAAAAAATTCTCTTCATTAATCTTGTTCAAAGAAGTATAAAAACATGGCCTATGCCTAGGCATATGTAAGACAATCTAAATCTAAAATAAACCCTAAAGACTAGAAATCTCTCTAAGAGTGGTGTTTAATTACATATTAGGAATGAGAAATTAAGAGCCATTTTAAAAGCTTTTCTAAAGACTAAACTTAGACTCAGATCAACAAAATAAATGTTCTAAAATCAAAAGGATTTAATGATATGTTGAAATTACGAAATAGTAAGTCAAACCATAAGAAACATGTGCTGAAAATGCAAAACAGGAAACTAAATGAAAACTAAATCAAATCCTAATTAAATGTTGAATATCAAGCCAATCTTGAAGCTTCTAGATGGTCAAAAAACTTACTCCTTCATCCCACACTAAGGCACTTGCTTGTCACATGATATTTTAAGTTAATTCTTTAATCTGGACTCCATATTGGCCTTGTATATCATTTGATTGGGCTTCTAACATTATAGTTTTCATTCCTGGACCTTTTAAATGAATCTTCATGGCACTGTTTACGTCCATACACATGTGTAGGCTAGTTGAACAACCATTCGTGCTTCAATAAGCTTGATTCACATTCTGAAACTTTCATGGACCATTAGACAATTCATTTGGGCCCCAATGTAGCATTATTAAAGTTCCATTCGACTCCTTTATATGTATATAATAGCATTGAGCCATCAACTTACAAAGCATCCAATGTATCCTTTTTAAATGTTGAAAGGAAAATTATATCAGATACTAGACACTCTAATGCAAGTAACTGAAGAATAAAAATGTCCTTTAACCTTCAAATGAAAGTAGAAGAGAAGAAATTAAATGGTAAGAACTCCGAGATGGAAAAGCATCAAATTACTGAAGAATTAGCAAAGAAACCATAATTTGGGGATTAAATAACAAAAAAATATATGCAACATTAAATACCTTGAATATTTTTTTGAAAAATATCATCTTCACCGGGTCCTTTTGGATGAGACCAAGGCGATCCAACTAGTTATAACAAAGGGCATCCATGGTTGAACTAATATTTCCTACAAAATAGTAAAATAATGAGCTTATGTTCCATGTTTAGTTCTTAGCCTTCCTCGTTCTACACAATCTTTCTTTTAAATATGAAAAATTACCTAAAGATATATGTTTGAACTTCCATTCAATTCCATGGAGATCCCTAGCTTCTGGCTCTTCGTCCTCACCCCGTATTTCCCCATCTTTATCCTCTAAGTATTGAATAAGTCAATGAAAAAAAGTGTAGTACAGCTGAGGACCTTTGGAAAAATTTAATATCAATTGAGGACTTTAAGATTTTGATATTACACTACACCCACATGATACTTATTCTCTTTGATCTTATTTATAAGTCACTTTCAGCATTTTTCACTGGAACTAAGGAAAACTTTAAATGTCATTAATTTTGTCTTAAAATTTAACAAGTTTCCACCATTATTCCTAATAAATATTATTAAATCTCATTGTTGATATTTTTATTCAAAATATTTAATAAGGCTGAAAATGTAAAGAGAATAATTGAAAATTAACAAGTGTCTTATAAATAGGATCAATTTTTTTATTTTCTTTCTGCCCTATAAATAGGACTAGAGGAGTATCTGAAGATAAGTTTTTATGGGAAAAGACCTAATTACTCCTAAAGTTTAAAAAAAACTTATTCATATTTTAACAACAATCCAATTGTAATTACTAACAACCCATTCAAAAATGAACAACTTAGAGAAACCAATAAGACATGTTGAATTGGAAGTGTGTTAATCTTAAATAAACAAGTATTCACTTTGGTTTTGATGACAACAATCAATTTGTAATTATCAACAATAAGTTCATAAATGAACAAATTAAAAAAATTAATAGGACAGGTTGAATTAGATAAGTTATAATTGACATTGTCTACATATTTATTGGGTTGTTAAGTGTGAGTGTACTTGGCTTGATTTGGAGAAAAGCTCCGCATTGGATAGAGTTATGAGCTAAAGAAAAGGTATATAAGTGGAAGGGATTCATAAACTCAATGACTTAGAGTTTTGGGTTCAGATGTGATGCTATACTCAATTATGTGTTTTCTTAGAGTTAGGTGGCCTAATTCTATTCTACCTTCTTTCAAGATTCTCCTTGGCCCTAATAATATTGATAGTCACTTGTTCATTTTTGAATAAGTTATTATCAAAATATAAATAGATATTTGTTTATTTGAGATTAACACTTGTCCAATTTAACCTATCCTATCAATTTTTTTAAGTTGTTCATCTTTGAATGGGTTGTTATTAATTATGAATGGGTGGGTTGTTATCAAAATCTAAATAGATTGTTGTTTTAAACTCAGGGATAATTAGGCCTTTTCTCATAAAAACTTATTTTTAGATAAATATCATGAGTGCAGTGCAATATGAGAATTTTCTCAACTAATATAAAATTTTTCCAAGGGTCCTCTGCTGATGCTTTTCCAAAAAACAAATCAATTCCATTGTATGAGTCATACAACCAAAAAGGGCCAATAATTCTTAATTGTGAGTACGCAAGCCAGCTATTTTGTACTAAAGATGACAAAGGGGAAAAGTAAAATATGAGGTACCTTTGGGCTTTGGTAGATCATTGAGTCAATAGACATAATTATTTAGTAATAAGTTTGCCTCTCTATCATCTTCTATTCCTCTGCAGGTTTCCTCAGGGATCATGTCAAAAACTCCCAACTTGTTTCTACAATTTGTATGATGAAATGATTGAATAGTACATTATTTGGACTGGGAATTTACCTTTTCATAGAATTGTCAAGGCCGTGGTTTTTACATAAACAAAACAAGGGGCTTATAAATGGGCGAAAATCATGCTGCCACTGACCTTCACAATGTTATAATAATAGTTTTTTGAAAAAAGGATCCAGTAGTTAGATTTCTTTGTAACTTCGGCTGGCAAGTTACTCTCTCTCTCTCTTACATTCATTTGAAAAAAATTGTACATTAATCCCTTTTTTTAAAAAAAATAACAGATATTTGTTTTAGTTTAACGATAGAATAAAAATTACTTTAAGTTTAATTGTTTAAAATTCTAAATGTATATTAACCCTATCTTTTGTGTTAATTTGTTTATATATAGAGAGAGACTATACATATACATAGAGACATGCACAGATCATTACTTGTATATCGCTAATTTATCGCACCCATGTATGACCTATCATATCGCATCTACCACTAATGCCCTTACCAGTACATCATGAAGTCAAGCTATTTCTGAGCCAATTAATTCATATATTGATATTGACATTTAAAAAAAAATCTAATAATAATCCTTTTTTTTAAATGATCGTGGAGAGAATCTTTAAATTTTAATATTATTGTCAATATTTGAAGTTATAGATTCTTAAATGTCACTTCCCAAATAATTTCCAACTAGAAGAATTCTAGAGTCTGAATCATTAACCAAATGACACTCATCAATATCGTATAATATTTTGGTGCCCCTTTAAAGAGAGCTCAAAAAAAAAAAAAACTTCAAAGTTTTTTTTTTTAAAAAAAAAGGAAATTGAACAAACTGAACTAACATAAGCCAAGTCACAAGGCCATTTTCAGTTTCAACCACCTAACTAACATCCTGTTTGGCATAGAACCTCAACAAATGCGTCCTTAATGTAAGGGTTTGAAGCTGCTACTCTCTGAGATGTTAAGTCAAAATCTTTACCAGACCTGTTTTGCACAGAACATCAGATTTTGATCAGAACAAACCTTCAAAGACTGGGCATGCTAATATTTCAAAGAGAAAGTGGAAAACTAACTAAATCAATATATAAATATAAACTACTTAAAAAGTTATGAACAAGGTCGCTTGTTCCTCAATCGTCATAAAATGAACAAAGAAAGTGTTTAATTTTCTCCATAAATGACCATAAGATGAAAGCGCCAAAGACTCTAAAGAACTTCAGACATATCCATCATTATAAAAAGGGATATTTGGACAAGTATCTTACGGATCATACACTTCTGCCCCGGCTTCTCTGACAATGACTGCAGCCCCAGCCACATCCCTTGTGAAAGGAAGAAACCATGTCAGTCACAAATTATGATACCACAATTCTCAGGGTTGTATGCTGTATGTATAAAACTCGTACCAAGGACCACCAAAGCCAAGTTCAAAGCACGCATCTAGCCTTCCACAGGCGACTCCACAGAGGTTCATGGCGCAGGAGCCAGCCATTCGTACAGATCTCACCTAATCAAAGAAAAAACATTGTGATGGCAGGCAACCATTTCACTAAATTCCAGTAGATTCTATGGCAAAGTCTTGAGTTTACCTTAAAAAGTAAGGTATTAATCCTGTTAGTACAGACATCTATTGTTTCTTTGTCACGTTTTGTTCCAATCTGCTCTTTCAGAAAGAAAAAGCCTGATCACTTTCCAAATTTTATTACATATGGCAACACATTTACAAGTAAACATGAGTACATGACACGTCTAAATTAGGGTGAATGTATCTTTCGATCATTGAAACTCAAGTTACTATTCCAGAAATGATGTCTGTTTACTAGCCAATATTACCTAATCTGTACGCAGTTTTATTTTTTAATTAAAACATGTATCATAAAATCAAAACAGGTTACATATAAGGAGCATTCCTATCATCAAACTTCAACTCAGTAAGCCAAGGTGGAGGTTGATCAAAGGTAGAAAAAGAATTAGGTAACCTATGACTGACTTTAGCCAGTTCATCAGTTCTCTTTGCAAAATTTCTATAATGCCATTCAAAAGAAACAGTCCAGTTTGTGGGTTGTAAGGCTTCTAGCCTCCTGATTGATGTCTCTAAAAGGATGATCTTCAATATTATGTCTGGTAACCATGTTAATCACACTTGCAATGTCAGTTATTACATCAGCCTGTTTATCTCCTCTTGTCCAGCAGTTAATTGCACTTGCACATTATCTGCACGCAGCTTGACAGGACAAATTGAACAAACTAACTGTGCATTACATGGAGATACAATTTAAAGTAGAACAGGTACGACATGTCACAATTCAAGTTCTACTAAATCATAAAAAAGACAGTATTTTTCTAATAACACAACTCAAAAGATTACATACGCAAACGTTTATTCAGAGATAATATTCTTAATATATATTTTTTTTGCCAATTCAGTTATTTCTTGATCAAAAGTGTGCAGATTTAATAGCTTATAGGCTTGCACTGCTTAGATAAGATATTAAATGCATATATAGGAGATGAGCTTACAACTACCAAAATCTGATCAGCATAGAAAAAGAAAAAGAAAACAGCTCAACGTTTGCCCATCCTGATATGCGTATGAATCATCCTCATATTACGTTGCAGAAATTTTCTCTTTTAAACAAAGTTCCAACCCAACGCGCACAAGACATAAATAGTGCTTGAAACACAAACAGCATAAATTCTGAGAAAGCTTCTGCCCAGGAAATTATGAAAGACAAGGACTTTTAGGTTACTCTACCACTACAGAAGGAATGACAAGAGTACCAACAGATCTATTGGTGTATGCAGATTGTAATCTAGCATTTGTCAGTGCACAAATTTTGCACAAATTTTGATAGCGTTTGAAAATATAGAAGTGACTATATGGTATAATAGTGTCGAGCAACAGTTGCCATGACTTCACATGATAATTGGAACTATAATAAAGATAACATATGCTAGATACTGTTAGCAAGGAAACAGAATCATCTATTAGCTACTTAGGCTTGATGCTACTTTAGAAGCAAAGAGTTAGTATGATGCAAATGTGCTCAACAAAACCTTTAAAGTTATTTTAAGGATCATGTTAATTGAAACTTAAGTATAATGGCCAAGATCAGGACATGCAAAAATATAGAACACAGCCACTGTCTGTATTGTAAGTGACTTGACTGATTGAAAACACTGTGGTTAACTTCCTCAATTATTCCTTATTCATATTTTGCAGCTAATTGTTGTGTCAATTAAATGTTTTTCACCACAGACAATAAAGGGAAAAATCTAAGAGATCATACAAACCACTGATCCCCCAAAACCCCACCCCAAGAAAAAGTTCATCAAATAGGAAATAAGTCGGAGAGGGAAGGAAGAATCCATATCAAGTCTGGTGGATTTAACATACCTCAGTTGCAAGGAGAGAGCTAATTAGTTCAGTTTGTGATGACGCTGCACAATTAAAAAACATACACATGAAGCAACACATTGTCAATTAGCCATAATAGACAAAAGACAAATAATGAAAGGCAAACCTTTTATAGGGTTTCCATTCAAAAAAGCACCTCTTCCACGAATGGCAGTGAAAAGCTACAAATAAAAATTCAAAACTTCAATTTGGTATTTTCAGGAAGGGTTCAGAAAAATTTTCCACGCCAAGAACGACAAAAATTAAAACATCAACTTAGATTAGTGTGATATGAACTGAAATCACTCCCTCTTGGCTCCAACGGGTCATGGCCTTGTGGGCCATTTTGTTCACATGAAGGTCACTGAAAACTATGATCATATAGAACAGCTGATCACTTGATTACTTTTTTTCCCAGAATATTCAATGATGCCCTGGTTTCACTATGCGGAAAGTATTTTAACAGCCCAAGAACTAAATAATATGTACACCATTCAATCACTCCTCTGTATATCAAATTCTAGCAATTTAAGGGATTTTATTGTCAGAAAATCAACGAAATGAAAGGTTTCTCACCTCATTAAGTATTGGGTTGTAAACAACACCAACTGTAGGAACTTTTTGGATTGTTAAACCAATGGAGACACAAACAAAGGGAAACCTGCAAATAGTAAAATTATAGTCATTTAAATGGATAGACATATTCGTCAACTGAAACACAAGAAAATCTTTACCCATGCACAAAGTTAGTAGTTCCATCCAAAGGATCAACTATCCATGTGTGTTCATCAGTAAGTTCTGCAGCACCTAAAACAGCAGAAGTCTCTTCCCCAATGAACTAGTAGGAAGAAAAAATAAATAAAATGACCATGAGGGAGTACATATGAAAAAAAAAAGTAGGCCATCTATCACAAACTTAATTTTATATGGAAAACTTATTTGAAAGAACACAATCAACCTTATGAGTGGGATAGAGCTTCCCCAGGTGATTAAAGATGAGATCTTCACATGCTTTATCAGTTTCTGTGACCAAATCAACCTGTGCATCATAACAAAAGTATACAATAAATAACATGGTTACAATCTTTTATCATCTACGTACCTTCTTCCATGTTCATACACCAATTATGACCATGGGTTACTTCTTCCCACTAACCACCTGAAGTATCTTTTCCATCAACAGAGAGAAAGAGACTACAACCATCACCTAACTTATCTTCAACATACACATCCTACATTGACTGTATTTGAGTTTGTTTTGCCTTGGTTAACTACTGTTGTGCAAGATAGCTTATGAATTACTTTCTTCCTATTAGATTGACCTGAATGAAGTCTCTCCAATGACCACGAAAGATAAAGTTAAGATAGTTCACTGGAAGCAGCTATGCATACTACAAACAAGATTGTTACACCTTTGATATTAATAAAATCATTTCTGAGCCTTTTCCAGATAGATCAACCTTGGGGGATGGATTTGTTCCTTGCAGAGTGCTAGAGCCTCTAAACCAAGTGGTCATGAACTCTTACCACCTTCATTTAACGTAAATTTCACCATAAAGATTAGACAAGTTTCACTATGGGCTACATGTGAGGGAGCATGTTTCCAAATAGGCTTTTGACATCTTGTAAGAATCATTAAAATGTGTGCTATAATTCTCCTTCACTTGCATAACACATTCAACGATACTACTACAGCTACAAATTGTTACTCTAAGTTCAACTGCATTTCTGCATATGAGCTAATGGCAGAGCACTCTACTTTAGCTCTGTGTCGGCCGTATTATTTGGTTGAAACTTAGTTTCCAAGTAGGGTTAGACATCTTGTAAGAATCATTAAAATTTGTGCTACAATTCTCCTTCACTTGCATAACACATATTTCCAATTAGGCTTGGACATCTTGCAAGAATCATTAAAATTTATGCTACAATTCTCCTTCACTTGCATAACACATTCAACGATACTACTACAGCAACGAATTTTTTCTCTAAGTTCAACTGCATTTCTGCATATTAGCTAATGGCAGAGCATTTTACTTTAGCTCTGAGTAGCCGTAGTATTTGGTTGAAACTTATTTTTTTCAGCAAGAGTCATTTACAGGATTCTTGATCGCGTGTGTTATTTTACCTTTCTGTCCATCATCTCCCGTAATGGCCTCTCCCCCAAGAAGAAAGAAGAAAATAAACTAACATTCAACCGAACTTTCAGTTCTTGCAATTATAAAATCATTGCCAACAATTTCTCGGCGCAATCAATAGCGGTTAATAAAACTTACCTGAAATACCGTGCCAGATTTTCTCAATATTTCTAAAATGAGATCATTGAAGTTAACCTTGCACACTAAAAGCTACAATCTATACCAAAAGAAAGGGACCAAGAAAAAGATAATGAAATCTCAATGCCAACCTGCCCTTTGTGCTCCACATTTTTGGTCTGGTAGAAGCTTTTTCGAATAATCTGGAAATTCACTCAGTTACAAGAAAGAAATTCAAGAAATAAACCAAAAATTAGAACTAAATACTGAATGAGGGAAACGAAAAAAGAACCGAGAAATCAACTGACCTCACCAGCTTCCTGAGCAGCTTGGACTGCAGACGCAAGAAATTCGGCGAGCGAATCTGGAGGTCAACAGATTTGCAAAGAACACCAGAAAATTCAACCGTTTAGAAGCGCGCTCAAAGAAACGTACAAGAACTGATAAAGAATGATGCATAGGTGGATTGAGTCTTACCATTTCCAGCCATTTCTTGAAGTTCAGGGGTATGAGACGCAGAGGATGAGGAATGCTATGATGAGATAGCGAGAGGCTTTCCTTTCTTCTCGAGCTTTCACGTATCACACTATAACAGTGAAAAAGAGCATCACACACCACATGCGTTATATGTATACTCACACACACGCCTACAGAGACCATCATCAATCTTGCAAACGAAAAAATTAATTTTAATTTTTTAAATTTCTCGAAAATGATACCATCCAGGAAAAAGGTTTGAATATATTTTGACTGTAAGGATAAAAATTACTATCAATATAAATAAAAAAAATCATGCTATTTTAAAATAAATATAATACAATTTATTTGTTAAATTCCCAATGACATTATATATATATATAACTTTATAGATTGAAAATTAATTTGTTTGTCAAAATTTGAAAAAATGCACCGCAGCCTATAACGCCCAACAGATATTTAATCACAAAGGGTGGGGGAGGGGGAATTAATCATAATTCATAAATTCTGATTTTTTTCCTATAAAAAATAAAAAATTGAATTTTATAGCCAACATTTTATTATATTTTATTTTATTTAATAAACATATAATATAAAATAAACATAATTTTTCAAATTGAATCATAGGAATTATGTTCTACATTTCTGAACGTTCACTTGTTACATCCATCTTTTAAATGAGACAAGGATATCAATCTAACAATTCAATTATACTTGTCAAAACTAATTTTTTTAAAAAATATTAGTAAAAATAGGTTATTTTCTAACATTAATATTTCAAGAAAAGCAAATATATAATTTATTAGAATTTTTTATTATATCTTATAAATATTAAATTTATAAAAAATATAAATAATATTATTGATTATCCTTTATTGTTGTGGGACAAACCATACTCATTGAAAAAGTTTAGCATAAAAGGGAATGCGGAAGCATATACCAAAAGATGCTTTGGCGTTGTCAGATTCTGTCCTGTGAGGTACCAAACCAAACAAGGAAGTTTCATTCAGGACTCCAGCCGGAGACGCACAGTCACATCACATGTGTTGCAGGAATCGGAAGTTTCGCATTTACTACTTCAGCTAGAATAAAGAACGGCTAGTTAAATTAGTAATTTTATTTAAAAATATTTAAAATAAAATTTATTTTTATTTAAATAAAAAATTTTAAATTTACATTATATTCTCTTTTTATGAATTTAAATATTTAATGAATTTAAACAGAAATAATATTTAAAAACACTCTCTTTGATTTTTATTAGTGAGAGATAATATTACACAAGAATCTAGATTAATAATAAAAAGGATAAAATAGAAAAAAATTTATATGTACTAAATTACTTATATTTTAAATTAAGATTAATTGAAAGAAAATGTTTATTTGGATTGGAGGGAGTAATTAATACCTCATAATGTGCCCTATAGTAGGAATCAAATGGGGTAATAATTTAGTCATTAATCTCATTTTTCAAATTATCAACCCATTTAATTCATTAAATAGTTTGTTTTTAGAGAGAATAACAAATAAATATCATTAAAATAATAAAAAATACTCCTTCTATTTCAAATTATAAGACAAAGTTAAAGGTACTCCTTTGATCCTATTTATAGGATAGAGAGAAGAAAAAAATTGGCCATATTTATAGAGCAGATGCTAATTCTCAATGCTTTTCTTTACATTTTTGCCCTTATTAAATATTTTAAATAAAAATATCAGTAATGATGTTTAAGAACATTTAAAAGGGGTAAAGGTAAAAACTTGTCAAATTTTAAGACAAAATTAATAAGGTTTAAGGTTTTCCTTAATTCTAATAAAACATGCTAGAAGTTACTTAAAAATAAGACCAAAGGGAGTATATTGTTGTCTTGAAATATAAGAGGACAATTTGAAAAAAAAAATTCCTTCATTTTAAAAATATAAGAAATTTTTAATCAAATCTCACCCTTCAATAAAGTACTCTCTCTGGTCCACATTATAAGACCATTTCTAGAAGATATATCTGGCCCCCATTATAAGTCACTAACAATTGAAGACTTCTCATTTTAAAGTGAAATTTTGAAAATTCCCCTGGCTATTTTACTCATCTTTGTTCAACTGACTGACAATTTCACTGGCGTCCTCTCTCTCTCTCTCTCTCACTCTGTCTTCATCTTTTTCTCTCACCATCTTCACTTAGTTTTCATCGATCGCCTCTCTGCCACCGAGCTCATTGTTTCTCTACTGCAATTCCTCTTCTACTGTTATTCACACAAGTGTCGCCGATCATTTTGTGGTATGCAATATCTCTGGATCTCGCCGTTTAAGTCCGATGGAGGAGCGTTTTGAGGGTCTGTCATGGGATCAACTAATGGCATGCATAGTGGACAATTCTCTTACCAAAGAAGAAGATTCACGGTTGCTCAAGTTCTCTGGAGAGGTAAACTCTCTAAATCAAAAGATTTTGAGGGCTCCTCATCCGAATGGTTATTCCTTCACGTCTTCTAACTTCGCTAAGGTCGTGCGTGCGAAGAAAGCTCACTCGTTTGATTTGAACGAAGAGGCAGTCGAGGATGGTGAAGAAGTGAGTGACGGCGATGCAGTGCTGGAGTTCACGAAAGCAAGTGAAAAGAAGAAGATAGTCCACCCTTTTGACTCAAACAAGTTTCCATTCCCTGAGGAAGACTACGCACATCTGACTGAGGAAGAGTAGGACCGTAAGCGATTTATGTATGACATTTTACATTATATACTTTAATTTGTCTCAAATTTCTATACCTTTTGTGTAATTTGGGTTAATTTAGAATTTAAGCTTATGCTGATTAAGGAATAGGTCTGAGATGCTCATGGTCTATTAGTCTGATGGATGGTCATATTATATTGTGTTAATCCTATTGTGTTAATTATATTTTGAAGGATATCAAATGTGCATGTCGTTATGATCCTTCTGGTAGCAATATTCTGTTCGTAACCTGTTATTGTTTATAGTATGTTATCAGATCATAAGTTGGTATTTTAGCGATAAGGATTCATCACCAGGCTGTTCTTCTCTTTGCTTAACATGCCAGATTGATTATTTTTCCTCCCTATTGATATTGAATACTAGTTTATTTTTTAAGGATATCAAATCTGCATGCCGTTATGATCCTACTGATATTAAACATGAGATTTTTGTGAATCACCTAAGCCCCTAGCTATTGGCCGCTAAATTAAGTATGGTAGCTTTGTGTTAAATATAATTATAGATTTGTCACCAAAAAATATAATTGTGATTGTGTGAGAGCCTGTCCGAGTTACTTTTCAAAATCAAAATGGGAAGGGCCCAAGGGGGGAAAGGTGGAAATGTCTCCATTATTTGATAACAAGTTTTGTTTTTTTCATAAGCTACATCATTGTGAAATATGGTGAAACAGGGGGTTGTTTTATTGATTGAGCAAGTAGTACCAGTGAATTAATTTCTCTTGCGTCAATTGCTTTAGTTTTTCATCACTTTGATCAGTTTCTTCCTTTATATTCTTTGTTTAACATTTATTAGAAAATAAATTGATTACAAAATATTATTCGTTTTATGATCAGGGGTTGTTTGTTTGTTTATGATCAGGGGTTCTTTGTTTACAAAATGAATACTATTCCTTTACAAAATAAATTTATGATAGGGGTTCTTTGTTTAATTTGATCAATTTTATTCCTTTATGATTAGGGGTTGTTTAACATCATTTTTCATTGCCAATAGCATCTATTACAAAATATTAATTGTTAATATTATGTGTTGCAATTTACATGATAAATTGTAATAGAAAATATTAATCACCAAAATATAGAGGATTCATAGAAACATCCACCCCTTAATCTCAATCATCCATTCACTTGTGCTAAATGCTCCAAAACTTCTTCAATTAGGTAGGGATCACATTTAAGTTGATTAGGCAAGTCACCTCTTCTTTCCATCACATCCTTCTTCAAATGACCTTGCTTATACTTGTTTGAACCTTTGTCCTTCATAACGTCAATCATAGTAGCTTGTAGTGTTAGGAAGATCCTATTCAATTGCTTGGATGTGTAAACTTCAAATGATTTCTCCACAGCCTTGACAAGGTTATCTATAGTTTTAGGTGCTTCTTGGTGTTGTAGTGCTTAAGTTGCTCTAAAATAACTAAGATTCAAAATGTTTAAATCAGGGGAATTTGAGGGTTGAGAAATCAAGCGAATATCAAACCCACCGTCACTATACGAAAGTGCACATCACTGTCATGAATGTGACAAGGAGTATTATCTTGCTGAACATAAATGGTTTCACTTGCATGACTTGTTGGCCATTTGGCTTTGATTTCTGGTAACACTTTGTCAATTAAGAAAGATTTCATCACTTCTTTTGTAATTGAAGTAATTGATTTTGTTTCCATTGTGCCTCTACTCCTATTTGCACTCCTCCTTGCTGCCTCTTTTGTAACAAATGGAAACAACTCAATCTTTCCAGAAAAAATTTTATTTCCTTGTGCATCAAATCTAGCCTAGCTACAACAACTAGGAACATAACCTTACCAATATAATTCTTGTTTTTGTATGTTCGATGTGTTGGCTCTTCCCCTATTACCAAGTAGTAGGTTTAGGATTTCTTTGTCATTTAAAACCATTTTTCATCAATATGGATTATGTTGTGCATTGATTGAAAATTTAGATCATTGGTATACTTTCTTGTTCTAGCATGGACAAATACCACCTCAATCTAAAAAGCATGATTTTCTCCTTCAAATATGGTTTGATTGCACTGGTGTGGCGCCATAGAACTCCTTTTTTCTATAGTCTGATCAGTGATGTCTTGTTAACCCATAACGTACTTGCAAAAGACCTATAAGTAGTTCTTTGCTGTACAAGAATTGCCTTGACTTGTTCCATGTTCACATTAGGTCCCTTTCTTCCACACCTATTTGTCTTTCTATGAGTTGCATCACCTGTTTCCTTAACTTGATTCCAAATACGTTGAATCACTCTTATTGAAAATGAGTATACTGAAGCTATTTCTCTTACTGTAATGCTGCTTAATTTACCTCCACAACTTGAGTGTAACAAAATCTTACAAATGGCTACATGTTCATTTGATAAGAACCTTCTTTTACATGGTGGTTGCCTTGATGATTTAATTGTATTGCCTCCCATATCTAT